GGCTTCAGGTCAGGGCGTCTGGGACGGCTCGTTGCAAGGGGTGAATGACCTTGAGGCAGCGAGGTCTAGGACAATGACGCCAGACCGGCCACGATGGCTGCCCACTGCAAATCTTCGCATACAACCCAAGCACTCACTAATGTGGTCAGGGCCACTAAGCAGTACCTTTTTTGGACGTTTAAATAAACACATAATACGGAACCTTCCTTTGTGGGAAATCGATTGAAAACACTGAACATCATGAAGTATTTGGCGATATATCAACGCTGATCTGAAACTCAGCATAATACATAACAAGGGAACGTTTTAATTTAACGAGAGAATAGTTCTCTTTATATGCGCAAAATGGTATGCTTACGACTACATTTTCCAAACCTATTTAAATTAATTAGTTTCCCACCGGCCTAAAAACATGTAATCTTGTGAAAACTCTTATCCCTATGACGTTTCTATCGGCAAGATCAAGCAAAATCCTGTTTGTTTGTTGTATGCACGATCGTCAAGAACTGGAGACCTGGGTAAAGTTTCATTTCAAGAAGACTTGCCCGTCCATGAGCGTAGGGGTTCAGTGCCACGCATCCAAGACAAAGGGTCTACGCCCTCATTTTTGGAAATTCGTGTTCGAGAAATTTTGCCCACTGTTGACTCATCATGAAAGCAATTCGGTTACAAAGAAAATAATCAATCTTTAAGTCTCTCTTCTGCAATATTTTCGATTTGAAGGAGAGGGAACGTTAAATAAAGACAATATATGTGATAGGGATTGATCACCGAGACTTGGACATGTGTTTAAAATCAGGAATCCAGAGATTTATACAAACAAATAGGCATCAATTTACGTGACTCCTAGAGAATGTGTTGCCTAAAAGACAGGTAGACATGTGCTGCACCAACCACACTCTCCCCTCCGTCATCAATCTGAGCCAAGTTTGATGACGGAGTCGAGCAGATCGGAGGTTTGTTCGGGAGCAGTGGCTAAAAACGCCAAACAGTCCGTCTGCGCGTGTCGCACACAAAACGTGGTCTGATGTGCTGTGGAGGACAATTACCCAAATTCGATATCCCTCTCTCTCTCTCGCTCAC